CTAAAGCCCACTGCTCTCATTAAGACAGAAAAAAGAAAACCATTCAGTTCAGGTGTTTTAAAACATATGTGATTCAGGAAATTGTCTGTATACCAAACTGAACGATTGTTATTCTCTACTTCAAAAAAACACTTTAGATTTTTTAATTGTTTTAATTTTATTTTTTAATTAAAAAAATTAAATGTATAAAATAGATGCATAAACACCTCATTTTATTTCTGTTTAAAGAAATGTGTGTTAAATTCTGTTTAACTGTTTAAAAATGTCTCCAGACCTTTACTGGTTGATGATTTTCTTTATTCTAGATTTTTAATTGGTTAACCCTGCTATAAGGGAAGATGAACCTGCAGTTACAGGATTTAAAGGCTTTTGTTAGGTTTTTGTATTTAGCTAAAATAAGCCCAAACACAAATTTGAACGGCATACATTTATTCATTGCTTTCATATTGCTGCGAATGCAACAGTAACAAAATAAAAATATTATAATGTACAAATAGACTGGCTCCTTTAAGTGGCTCTTTTGTAGTGGCTCAGAAACATCAGCAACATTAATAACAAATAAAAACAGGGGAAAAAAACTGTTACTGAAAAAAAAAACTGAGATTTTTTGCTTTTTTTAAACTAGCAAAGAACTCACTATTTAAACACCTGCTTTTGTCAAACTTACTGCACTACAATACTAATTTTCAAGGCTATTTACACTCCGTTGCTTTTTTTTGTTGAAAAAGCTCCGTATGCCTGAAAACTTTTTTAAACTAACCCGTCTACTACTTTTTTATTCAAAATAAAACTCGAAGTAGCTGCTGGTTAATATTAATGAGTGCTGCTGTGTGTCGTCTCTCCTCCAATCACGTAGCTACTGTGTATAGCGACTGCCAATAATGTTCTATCATAAAGTGACAGACGTGGAGGCAAGGCAAGGCAAGGCAAATTTATTTGTAAAGCACAATTCAGTACAAATACAATGCAAAGTGCTTTACATGATTAAAATATAGGAAAATAAAACAGAATCAAAGCAAGTAGGAAAAAAAAATTATAAAATAAAATAAGAAATGCAGAAACAAAAAAGAATATTAAAAACAGTTGGACTAAAGAAAATAAAAAAGTTGAACTAATGATGTTTTAGTTGAACTGTTTAACTAGAACAGTGGTAGCCATGGACTTAGGATCCAGTGATGTCATATCAGTAGGCGGGACTCAGGAGCAGCGGGATAGCGAGACAGAAACACTGACTGAAAACTATCAGAACACAGACAGCAGGGCGCGTCCTGAGGTTAGTGTTGCTGGCTAAAGTAAATGAGCCGAAAACACACCAGTCCTCAGAAAGTTACGCCAGTGGTACTAACATTCTTTCCACATAAACACGGTTAGCGGAATTATGACCAAAAAGTTCTATTTTGGTCTCATCTGATCACATGACTTTCTCCCATGACTCTATTGGATCATCCGAATGGCCATTGGTTTACACAGTGGAACCTGCCATGCCATGCATGACTTCAAACCATGACGTCCTGGTGTATAACTAACAGTAACCATGGAAACAGTGGTTCCAGCTCTTTTCAGGTCATTGACCAGCTCCTCATGTGTTGTTCTGGGCGGATTTTCCACCTTTCTCAGGATCATTGAGACCCCATGAGGTGAGATCTTGCATGGAGCCCCAGTCTGAAGGAGATTGACAGTTATGTTTAGATTCTTCATTGATTGCTCCAACAGTGGACCTTTTTTTACCCAGCTGCTTGGCAATTTCCCCCTTAGCCCTTTCAAACCTTGAGGAGGTGTACAATTCAGTCTCTAGTGTCTTTGGACATCTCTTTGGTGTTGGCCATGTTAGTTGTTAGATTCTTACTGATTGGATAGGGTGGACAGATGTCTTTATGCAGCTGACGACCTCAAACAGGTGCGTCTAATTTAGGAGGTTCAGAATTCTAGCTGATAGACAGATGTTCAAATGCTTGCAGCTGTATCATACAAATAGTAAATAAAGTCATATATTGTAATTTTTTTAAGGTATGTCTCTCACATTGGACATTCACCTATGATAACAACTTCAGACGCTCTTCAGACCAAGTTCTCTCTCTAAGTGGGAGAACTTGTCAAATAACAGGATGTTCAAATACTTATTTTCCTCACTATGTATGTATGTATGTATATGTATGTACAGTGGTGTAAAAAAGTGTTTGCCCCCTTCCTCATTTCCTGTTTTGTTGCATGTTTGTAACACTTAAGTGTTTCAGAACATCAAACCAATTTAAACAATAGTCAAGGACAACACAAGAAAACACAAAATGCAATTTGTAAATGAAGGTGTTTATTATTAAAGGAGAAAAAATTCAAACCATCATGGCCCTGTGTGAAAAAGTGATTGCCCCACTCATTATAATATACTATAACTGTGGTTTTTAACAGCTGAGTTCAATTTTTCTAGCCAAAGCCAGGCCTGTTTATTGCCAAACCTGTTTTAAATCAAGACATCCCTTAAATAGGAGCTGCCTGACACAGTAAAGTCCACCAAAAGATCCTTAAAAGCTACACATCATGCCAAAGATCCAAAGAAATCCAGGAGCAATTGAGAAAGAAAGTAATTAAGATCTATCAGTCTGGAAAGGGTTATAAAGCCATTTCCAAAGCTTTGGGAATCCAGCGAACCACAGTGAGAGCCATTATCCACAAATGGTGAAGACATGGAACAGTGGTGAACCTTCCCAGGAGTAGTCGGCCTCCCAAAATTACCCCAAGAGCGCAGCGACGACTCAACCAAGAGGTCACAAAAGACCCCACAACAACGTCCAAAGAACTGCAGGCCTTGCCTCAGTTAAGGTCAGCGTTCATGCCTCCACCATCAGAAAAAGACTGGGCACAAATGGCCTGCATGGCAGAGTTCCACGAAGAAAACCACTGCTGAGCACAAAGAACATTAAAGCTCGTGTCAATTTTTCCAAATCACATCTTGATGATCCCCAAGACTTTTGGGAAAACATTCTGTGGACTGATGAGACAAAAGTGGAACTCTTTGGAAGGCGTGTGTCCCATTACATCTGGTGTAAAAAGAACACTGCATTTCAGAAAAAGAACATTATACCAACAGTAAAATATGGAGGTGGTAGTGTGATGGTCTGGGGCTGTTTTGCTGCGTCAGGACCTGGAAGACTTGCTGTGATAAATGGAACTATGAATCCTCCTGTCTACCAAAGATCCTGAAGGAGAATGTCCGACCATCTGTTTGTGAACTCAAGCTGAAACGAACTTGGGTTCTGAAGCAGGGCAATAATCCTAAACACATCAGCAAGTCCGCCACTGAATGGCCTAGCCAAAGTCCTGACCTGAATCCTATTTAGATGTTGTGGTATGACCTTAAAAAAGGCTGTTCATGCTCGAAAACCCTCCAATGTAACCAAATTAGAACAATTCTGCAAAGATGAGTGTGCCAAAATTTTTCCAGAACGCTATAAAAGACTCATTGCAAGTTATCGCAAACGCTTTGTTGCAGTTGTTGCTGCTGAGGGTGGCCCAACCAGTTATTAGGTTTAGGGGGCAATCACTTTTTCACACAGGGCCATGATGGTTTGGATTTTTTTTCTCCTTTAATAATAAACACCTTCATTTACAAATTGCATTTTGTGTTTACTTGTATTGTAATTGACTATTGTTTAAATGAGTTTGATGTTCCGAAACACTTAAGTGTGACAAACATGCAAAAAAATCAGGAAATGAGAAAGGGGGCAAACATTTTTTCTAACCACTGTATATGTATAATATATATGTAGATATAGATATAATAAAAATCTTCCACTGGCCTGTCCATCTGTGCCTCGGACGTCGCAAAATAAAGTTGGACGTATTCATCCGACCTGAACGTCTTTAATACTCAATAAAGGCCACTATTCTGCGTCATGCTACGCAGAAACGTGAAGAAAAACAACAACCATGGCGGACGATAATGCGGAGAGCAGTCGTTCTTTTTTTTTTAACCATCTTGAAAAGATTGAGCTCTTAAGGTTGGGAAAGATCGCTAGATGCTCTCCTGCGCTACCATCCATGTTTACTTCTGTAAACACAGAGCATGCTTGCTTGTGACTAGGGGTGGGTATTGCCAAAGACGTCACGATTCGATTCGAATCACGATGCATCACGATACTTGAATTATTGCGATGATTTGCAATACTTTCTCCTCCATGTTTTGTTTTTGAATGACTTGGCACAATATCCCGCGGCCACAAATGCTTGTGACACAAGGCAGCGTGCGTCAACACATCCGCAGCGACATCTACTGGACTGGAAGTTGTATAACACTTGTTTTTGGCTGATGTTCGCCAACAATTCATGCAATTTTATTTATAAATTTTTTAAAATTAATAATCGATACTTGGCGTCAAGAATCGATGCAGTAGATCACGAAAATTAGAATCACGATGCATCATCATGACGATTATTTTGCACACCCCTACTTGTGACTTCATTGCTTCCTCTACTGCGCATGAGGGACACTTAAGCTGTATGAATGCAATTCACACAGGAGATCGCATACAAGTCGCATATATTTGGAAATGTGAACGGCAATTGAAAAAAATCGTATTTCACAAAAAAATTGAGCATTAATTCCAATTAATGCTCAATTCCAAGTGAACCTAGCCTTTGACCTGCAGGTTGTCAACTGAATTAAAGTCGCACTCTAGTTTCTCTTTGACTTTTAAGTGGAGTGTTTAGAGATGGTTCTCGGTTCCTCTAACTGAATGCCTGCTTTGTTTTTTGTTGTGGAAAAAGTACTCAGAAATAAACGATCAGCTCTGATATTAGACAATTGTGCAGTCATTGTTCTCTGAACTGCTTCCACAGGTGGATCCAAATGTCTCCAAGCACAATGAGAGCAGCTGTGTTCGGCCTGTACCTTATAGAACAGGCCTGTTTCTACACTGTGGAAGTGGAAGGGCACAAGAGAGAAATGAGAGAAATGCCACCAGAGCATGACTCAGCAACATTGTGTTTGCTTCTTGTGTTTGCAGAGAAGGGCCAGGTCTACAAGCAGAAGAAGCCCACTATGTACCCACCGTGGAGCACCACGTTTGACGCCCACGTCCACCGCGGCCGCATCATGCACGTGATGGTGAAGGACCGCACGGCAGAGCTCAAGTCAGAGGCCACAGTGGCTCTAGACTCCTTAGCTTCACGCTGCAGGAAGGAGAACGGAAAGCTGGAGATCTGGGTATGTGCAGCAGAACCGTGGATCGGTACAGTCTCACAGACCATAGAGGGGCTCAGCGACGGACTGAGCCATGAAAGCTGGTTAAAAAACACTTTATTTACAGGTGAAGGTCACAATCCACAGCTAACATTTATGTTGTAATTTTCTTATTTATTTATAGTTTTAATTCATAGATCATTTACTGAGTTTGAGATTTTTAGGACCCTTTTAGTCCATCCGTTCCTGCCTCTGATATATTTTAACCAGGTGTTCAGGACAAGGTACGCCTCCAGGTTTTAAGACCAGCGCTTAAGACAGAACATTATTTAAATATTCAGGAAATAAAAGCACCACCATCATCTCCTCTGAATCCTTCCTTGGGTTCTGCTTGGCAGCTTCTATCGTTTCTGTAGGACTGAGAACTGCAGAGTGACTGCAGAGTGACTGGACCTCTCTGATGCCGTCCTCTTGGTTCCTATTTTCCCAGTAGAGAACCGCTCATTGAACCAGTCAGCTCTCCTCATGGCCTTTGCTTTAATCCTCCCTCTGTGCTTTATAGCGGAGAGCTTCTATCTCGGTCTCACATCACCATCAGCCGGCGTCTAAAGCCATCATACACTGTACGATTGTTTTGCCCTTTTTGGGTCGATTTTCCAGTCATCCAAGAATTTTCCGTTTAAGCCTATTTATCCTGCGTCGTGTAGTATACAGGGAGTAGCAAGGAGCGATCAGCTTCTCTTGACCACCTCCTGATCAAGCATCATGAGATCGGAAGAAAATCAAACTTGTTTGAAATTCAGTTGGCCGTCTTGAGGTGGTCGTGGATGAATCCTGCTGTTGAAGCAGCGCTACTAGGGGTGTAAATCACATCCATCATGGCGATTCGATTCAGTATCGATTTCCTGACCCAACGATTCGATTATTGTCGATACTCAAGAATATACCACCATTCGAATCGATTCAGTTAATTGGTTCATTTTTCTTTCTTTTTTCTTTTTTTTTTACACCTTACAGGCTAAACAATGTTTCAAGTTTGAAATAAATCAATGAAAGCTGTAATATCGTTATGCATTTTTTTTTGAGAAACTACAGAAAATAACAGAAGTAGAAAAGTTGCACTCAACCTCTTCCTATTAAAACCTCATTCACTGTAAAATAATAATACCCCTGCGTTATAGATTCTGAAAGGCTTTGCACAAAATCAGTGCAATGAAATACCTCGGCTCCAGACGTCCCGCCCCCTCCACAGACGCTCTGCTGCACCTCTCCCAAATTGTAGCTTGTTTTGTTTTTATGACCGAAGTTGCGGAAAACAACTCGTGAAGTTTGACCGGCTAGAACTTTTACTTTTGGAGCAGAATCTTTTCATTCCCCCTCAAATTTTTCAGTAAAGATTTATTCTGCACCACTCTAGATTCTCTGTGGATGGATTAGTTTACAATTAAGAATCATTTGAAATAAATAGTCGTAACTTTACAGATGGACAGCTTGCTGATGATCTTTTTTTCTTTTTATAAGTTTATTGCACATTTTATCAAATTACAAACAGTAAACAACACAAAACAAGAAGGCATATACAAGAAAAAAATATCTTTACCAAATCAAGTTGAAACGAAATAAATAAATAATAATCTTCAGTTGAACTCATCACTCCCACCATCATTTTTATCAAAAAGAAATTTTACAGAAAACCTTCCAGATCTTCGAATACTTGTCAATCTTTCTAAAACCAAATAAAAGACATCCTTGTTAACCATTACGAAGTACTACATGGTGTATCCATTTTTTCGCGATCAGGCTTTACATCTTTTGGCTTCCAAAAAACAAATATTGAGTTGGGATTTTTCATATTTGGAGGTCACAAAGTTATCTGGGAAAATATTCAATAAACAGAACTTTGGTTTGCGAGGTACTGCTTTTCCAATGATCCAACCACCCAGAGTTAATACTTTTTCCCAAAAAGCGAGAATCAGAAGAAATTCCCACATGCAGTGGAATTAAAAGGCTTTTTGTTGCTTACATTTAATGAACGTATGCGGGATATTTGGGTTAAACAGGTGCAGCTTACTTGGAGCTATATACTCTCTGCTTATCCATTTGTATCGTAGTAATATAGAGTTTATATTCACCTTTTGAGTTTGAACTTTTAAACAAGCTCTGGCCCATTCTCCCTCTGTTATATTTTCTTACACATTGGCTCTCCATGATTCTAAAATGTTCTGTGATGACTCTTTGGATTCACTTACAATTACTTACAGAAAAATTATAAAGAAAGGACACCTGCCCCTTGTCGCAACATCTTAACGAAAAAGTCTTGTGGAATTATCAACCTAATAAATTGAGATGCCAATATTTTAAACCCACTGTCTGCTCTCACGAATATGTTATTTTGTGAGCAAAGTAAAATATTTATCGTCAAATTAGACTGAAGGTATGATCAGACCAGGACACATTATCAGCAGCCAGTCACATCCGTATTTATCCGCCAAATGTTGGGACCCTGTGGCTGTTAAAGCCCAAAAGTCTGAGAAACATTCATTGCTTCTTCAGCTGATTCTTAGAAATCTTTTCTACTGTTTGACTTAATTCTAGCTTTACGGAGAGTTTTCCTCTTAGGGGAGATGCCTTGTAATTCTTAATTTGAAGGAAACCACATCACGACCAAACTGTAAATAAACGAATGACTAAGATCAAGTGGATTTCTCCAATCTGTCGCTTCTGATTCTGCTTCAGTATTTCCAGCAAGCATGTCATCCTTGCATCATCTTCATCCCTTTCAGCTACATCCTTCCTCTTTTTACCAGATGAATCTCTGTTGTAACTTTTTGTTTGCAGCTGGAGATGAAGCCGCAGGGTCGCCTGCTGATGGAGGCCAGATACTACCTGGAGAAGAGTGGTGAGTCTTCACCTCTATGGATGATGTATGATGACGACTCGAGTCAAACAGCTTATAGAAATATGTCAATATCCTCAAAATATCCTGCAGTTTGCTGAACTTATAAGGCGACACTTTTTCTTTCTTTGGCTAGAACCGGATTAAGTGTTTATATAATCATAATAAATCACAGATTTTCTGCTTCCAGCTGATAAATCAGGATATTTCGGATTAAAATGTTACATCAAAGCCAATATAAAAATCTATTTTCATACAGAAATAATGTTGCTTAAAATAAAAAAAAACTATATTTAACATCTGCCTAACATCAGAAGTTGTCTTATGGTACACTGCAAAAACAATCTGAAATCAAGTAAAAAAATTCTTAAATCAAGTGTATTTACCCTTAATTTGAGCAGGTAAATAAGATAGTTTGCCAATGGGATGAGTATTTTTACACTTAAAATAAGATAATTAGATAAAATGCACTTGAAATAAGACAATGCAATTGTTTTTTTCTTATTTCAAATGTAAATTGTCTTGTTCCATTGGCAAAGTGTCTCCTTTATCTACTGAAATCAGGATAAAATGCACTTATTTTAAGAAAAAATTACTTATTTAGATTTACATTTTTTGCAGTGTATAAGTCTAAGTCTAATGGTCTAAGTCTAAAAAATAAAAAAGCGATTACCTGATATTGCTGGAGAACGATCAGACTGTCATGACTCAGAAGAGAGAACCCAGTATTCAACGCAAGACAGAGAGTGGGATTTGGGCATCTAAGGCAGGAATCTCTGCAGGAGAGAAACGCAGGTTAGTGACCATGATAATCTGATGGAGGATGGTTATGAATGTGTGAGTCACTAACCTGATGTGGCACACTGCAAATAAATAAAATCTAAATAAGTCATTTTTTCTTAAAATGAGTGCATTTTTTCTTGAATTAAGGATTGAAGTGAGACACTTTGCCAATGGAACAAGACAATTTACACTTTAAACAAGAAAAAAAAGCAATTGCATTGTCTTATTTCAAGTGCATAATATCTAGATAGCTTATTTTAAGAGTAAAAACACTCATTCCATTGGCAAATCATCTTATTTACCTGCTCAAATTAAGGGTAAATACACTAAATTTAAGACCTTTTTACTCATTTTGAGATCGTTTTTGCAGTGCAGGCGCCGCCCTGAGTGTCCCAGGAGTCTGCAGGAGTCTGATGCCAGGTCAAACAAACAGATCAGAACAGGAACAGGCAGGCTCAGTTGCCAGTAGTATGAAGCCAGGTCAGGCAAACCATTCAGACAGGAACAGGAAGCCTCAGTGGTTTAGAGGCCATGATGACTTGATGTAGCACCTTAAATAGAGGCAGGAGCGGATGAATCAGATGAGCAATGACAGGAAACCGGGCACAGTTAGACAGGTCAATGAAATGAGCAATTAAGCCAGGCATCAGTGCCAAGATCATCACACATACGGTTTTAGTTCAGCAATGTCTCCAGCTTCCACATTGGATTCAGTTGATAATTGAATATGATATGAATGACTGGAGTACTCGTAATGAACCACCATTGCTGCCTTTCTCATCTTGGGACAAACCCAAGCCGAAGTAGGAATGGATGGGTTTGTGAGTGAGGTGGAGAGGCTGATACATCTGATTGAGTCTGATGGATGATCAGATGAGAGACGAGGTCTCAGAGTTATGGTTGTGGATTGTTTTGGATAAACTGACTGCGGCATGAAGCCTCGTCCATTTTTTATCCTCCTTATTTATCCTTTAACTCCTGAATCCAGCATCCAGCTATCCTGGATGCCCGGTTGTTCCAGCTATCCTGGTCTGATGAACGGGTCGATCTATTCATAACAGAACCTGTTCAGAACATAGATGACAACAGAACCTACTGATGCTTTCTAATAAATCATCACAGTGACGACAAGGCTATTCTCCCATACTACATCCATCCATCATTAATTACTTAGATATTTACAGTGTGTTAAGGTTGGGTGGAGGCTTTGAGTACCCAAATGCAGAGATGAGGAGGCAGTGGGTTGTCTTGCTGATTTAGTTAAGGAGGAAGAGGCAACCAAGGCAAAAATCTATAAAAATGCAAAAATAACCAAACAAAATCGAAAAAAATGTCAGGGACCATACATGTGGAAGCTAGAGACGAGAAAACAGCCCTGAGTTATAAAAAAAAACTGGTGAGCTGGTGACCTGTGTAGACTACCCAGGTTCTCCACAAAGATCCTCTCTGGCAGAGATGCATAACTCACATACACAGGAACCCTGACACAGTGATCCGGATAAACTCCTCCCACCTCCTTCATTCATGTATTGATTTGCTGTCCCACCCCAACATTAAAGGGGAACACCTTTTTTTTACCTTTTGGCCCGTGATTTTACGTTATTACATAATGTCTACTCACCCATATGGGTTTTGTGTCATTTGGAGCTGTTCCGAAGATATTCGGTTTTGTAATCCAAGTAACGTCTTCTTATGGGCAACGAGTTGAAGGCACAAACTAAACTGTTCATAATTTATCATTTATGGTACGCCAGCATTCATAACATGTAGGTGAATCACTGTCCCCCACACATCCACGGTTATATTTTTAATATTTCTATTTTTTTAAAACAAAGTTTGTATGGTATCATCCGGCTACCATTCCTTCATCCTGTCCGCTGAACTGCTGCTAGTTTTACTCACATGCCTGGAGGATGTCTAGTGCTGCTCCCACAGATGATCAAATGGAATTGAACGATTCAGATTAGCTAGCCGAATATATAGGAGGTAGAGCGAAGCCGGCTGGTTTAATATACATTGGTTAAATAAAGTAAAAAAAAAAAAATCTCCAGTCCGGTGTGCGGATGACGTTATACATACGCCGCTTTGTTTTTAAAAGATATAAATATAAAAAATATAACCGTGGATGTGTGGGGGACAGTGATTCACCTACATGTTCTGAATGCTGGCGTACCATAAATGATAAATGATGAACAGTTTAGTTTGTGCTTCCAACTCGTTGCACATAGGAAGACGTTACTTGGATATAACCTAACGGAATATCTTCCGAACGGCTCCAAATGACGCAAAACTCAAGGAACATGATGTAATAATGTGAAATCAAGGGGCCAATGTAAAAAAAACAACAAAATCCCCCTTTAAACGTCTCAAATTATACAACATTTAAAAAATAACAAAACAAAACTATGAGGCCTCCAGGGCAGGTTTTTGCAGTTTGTTCCAGAAAATTCCTCTCAGATTAGGTAGACAGGATTTACCAATAACCTCCTTATTCAGCCCTCTTTTAAAGAGCTGGTTATGCTTTCCACACCCCTACAACCCACAGCCATGACAAACACTCAGACTGGTTGATGATGATTGCAGCTAGAAGAGCAGAATAATACAAAAGGCAAAGAGTTTTAACCGATGGGCTGCTTCAGACCGTCTGCACAGCTTACAACGCACAAAAGGAGCAGCTTGATCAGATACCCACTCATTGCCATTCATTAATCATCATTATTACAATAATAAAAATTAGGGATGCACGATATAATCGGCCCCCTATCGGTATCGATATCGGTTATCGGCTACATGAGATTTAAAATATCGGCATATCGGATATCGGCCAAAATCCCAATATCGTGCATCTCTAATAAAAACAAATTTCACTCTAATCATTTCAACTCAAAGTATGGAACATAAATATGGAACAATCCTGTTTCTGCTGGAAACCTTAGACCGTAAACAACCTTTCAATAAACACACCCAGTTAGCCTGAGCTCCTAACGGATCTGATTTGATAAAATAACCGACCTCTTACTGACAAAAATTATTTAACACAAGCTCACAATTGGAAAAACTGCAGACCTCATGTTAAGAAAAGATTTTCCATCTTATAACCTGCTTATCAAAACAGCCGAGGACACAAACTGTAGCTCCCATGCTAAAGTGTTTACAGGCTACCAGGCTAAAGGAGTTCAACACAGTAAAGTCATGTCTTACTGTCAACTGTCCTAACAGTCACATCTGGAAGGACAAAATAAAATGCTTATATAGTTTAAATGGACAATTGAAATAGATATTATTTCTAAGTTGAACAGCCAAAGGAAGAAGTCAACCTCACGAAGATGCAAACAGGCTGTGGTTCTTTGTTTGCAGAAATGTGAGAAATAGAAACTTTGCTGTGAAGATGTAACCACAGTGCAGCAGGTTGTCTGTGGCGACTCTTCCTGTGAAGCTGAGGAGGCTGGATGTGTTTCAGACGCTGCAGGTCAGACCGGCGCAGACCCGGAATCAGTGCGGGCCGGAGACGGTCTGTTCACCCTCCATCATCGACGCGGCGCCATCAAACAGGCCAAAGTCCACGTGGTCAAGTGTCACGAGTTCAGCGCCACCTTCTTCCCTCAGCCGACCTTCTGCTCCGTCTGCAAAGAGTTTGTTTGGTACGACATCTTCATCAGCGCTCCTCTGCACATAAGTCAGCCTTTCTCTTGAACCTCTCACTTCCTCTTCCGCTCCACAGGGGTCTGAACAAGCAGGGATACCAGTGCAGACGTGAGTGTCCCTTTATTGTCTCTTGATTGGACGCCAAAGAGATGGGTGTCCTCCATGTCAGTCTGTCCTCTCCTTGTGTCTCTCAGAGTGCAACGCTGCCATCCACAAAAAGTGCATCGACAAAGTCATCGCCAAGTGTACCGGTTCAGCCGTCAACAGCAAGGAGACCATGGTGAGTTCTAACACCGGGCCCAGACCCGGTATCGAGTCCTTCCTTTCGCCTGAGGAAGGAAGGAAAATACAATAAAGTGAACAGAACCAACTACTGGCCCATGATTCTAATCTGGCCTTCAATTAGTTTTTCTTTCTCAGTCTTAATCTTTCAAATTTGACTCGATTTCTAATTCTACCGTCTTTGTTCTATAAAACTCGGACGAACAAACCCTGCAGAAGAACCATGGTTCCACTGTGAAGCAGGATCCAGTCGGCCCCTGCCTGCATTAAACCTGCTTTATTTGCTGTGTTTCTACTCTTGGACCCAGACTGCTGTGTTTTTCAGATCCACAAGGAGCGCTTCAAGATCGACATGCCCCACAGGTTCAAGGTCTACAACTACAAGAGTCCCACGTTCTGCCAGCACTGTGGAACGCTGCTGTGGGGCCTTGCCAAGCAGGGGCTCAAATGTGAGGGTGAGGGGCCGGACCTTCTTCTTTCATACACATTTACACTTAAAGGTATTGTAGAGGATTTTCTGGAATCTTTTAAAAGACCCGCACAGAAGATCTCCACATAAAAAAAGCACATTCACAACCCTGCACCCGCTCCTGAGAGGGAACACCTATTTAACGAGAGCATGCTCAAGCACATTTCTCCTTGTGCAAGCTCTGTTTAAAAGTTGTTGTTCTAATAGCTCCTACAAGCTTACTGAGTCCGAACGTTCGCCCGAACCCTTAGGACCCTCTGCCATTTTCAAAGAACCGCTGTGAAAAAGGTGAGCTTCCATGAGTGTCTGAAACCGTAGCTCACCACATGTACAGCATGTACGCCTGAAAAAGTAAAAGATGATCCACGCAGAAATAAAAGATATTCGTCTATACCTTTAAGGAGGCTGGAAGCCATGGAGGGGAACAGCCGTTCACTGAGCTGCTAAGTTCAGATTACAACAGAACAACAGAAAAGGTCCAGTTCAAAGTTTTAAGAACATTGGTGATCAAATGCACCATGTTTTTTTTCTCCTTCAATGTATATATTTGATCACTGCTGCACTTTAAGAAGTGGAAATGTCATGAGAGCTGTACAGAACGAAATTTCATTCTGTATACTCATGTATTTATTTTGTGTATACAAAATGACCATAAAGTTTGTCTAAGTTTTGGTTTGCTGCAGAATGATTTAGCGCCTCCTGCAGCTGATGGTTCTGGTCAAAGAAGGAATCTTTCTTTACAGACAATGTGTGATAGATGCATAGATAGCATAGATAACCCTGGTTAGAAGCAACAAGGTCTGAACCCAGAAGCAGCTTCCACTCGTTAATTGTGTTGAGATTTACTAACGGATTTGAAACCCGCCTTTTTCTGTGCAGAATGTAGCATGAACGTCCACCACAAATGTCAGAAGAAGGTCGCCAACCTGTGTGGGGTCAACCAGAAACTAATGGCAGAAGCTTTGGCTGTCATCGAGAGTAAACAACAGGTCAGAACTCATTAGACCTACCAGCTGTGGGGTTGACTAGTGGAATCAGGTGAGCCTTGGGCGTCCTGGTCTCTTTGACTGGAGGTTTTCTGTTCTGATTTAAGCCTTTTTAAGGACTGGAACACATTAAGGAGAGCCAACAGGCAACAATCAAAACCAGAACCCATTGGGCTCTAACAGAGCAGAAATGTGTGAGATAGAAGTTGTACCAACTTGTACGAGAAGGAATCTCGTCTGATGACCTGCAGTCTGGAAGGGTTTCTCTATAAACAGTAAAGTTTCCTCAGTGTCTTTCTGCTGAAGGAGAGGAAATAAGACTTGCTTCTATCCAAAGATCTCTGTTCACTAAGCCTTCCTCAGAAACTCCAGGTCCTAAAGTATTTATACTCTGAGGTTCTGAGCTGCCGATCTTAGATCTTTTTTATTGTGTGGGTGAAAGGGCCGGTCTGGTTCCTTAACAAAGAGGTCTGTCTTTAACCCCAGAAACATCTGCATTCTGGAGAACCTTCGTTCATTTAGAAATAAAAATTCATCAGATTCATTCATCCAGTCATTTTCCTCTGAAGGCAAAAGGTACCAGAGAGAGTGAAATCATTGGCCGAGAAGGTCCGATCGGTTTGGGCCAGCCAGGCGTGATCCGGACGCCATCTGGGTTGGTGGCAGGTTTACCCGTCTCATCGTTACCTGCTAACAGAGGTATGTCTCCAGCAGAACAGACTCCTAAATTTAAGTTTGGATTATAACAGAAGGTTATCCTCGTCTCAGCAGACCCTACAGGCGTTCTGTGGGAGGGGCCTACAGATGTCAGCACGTCCACTCCTGAGTTGGGCTCAGAAGAACCTCTGTATGCCGTCCCAAAGAAAGATCATCAGCAGAGATTCAACATCGACGACTTCATCCTGCACAAGATGCTTGGGAAAGGCAGCTTCGGAAAGGTCCGGGTCACATGACCTTTACGGGTCCCGGCACTGTTCTGTAGAATCTAAGTTCTGTCTTCCTGCGGTTCCAGGTGTTTCTGGCGGAGCTGAAGAGGAGCGGGACGTTTTTTGCTGTGAAGGCTCTGAAGAAAGACGTGGTTCTGATGGATGATGACGTGGAGTGCACGTTGGTGGAGAGGAGGGTTCTGTCTCTAGCCTGGGAGAACCCCTTCCTCACTCACCTGTACTGCACCTTCCAGACAAAGGTTAGGAACATGGGTTCTGTCAGAATGCGCCTCTGCTTGTTTGGACCAGTCTAACTGGGTTAAATGATTATCAAAGGCTGTTAAGGCTTTCTTTCCGGGTTTTTTGCTCAGAACTAATGAACCAGATCCAACCGACAACAATATCTCTAAAAGGTTCTAATTTAATCCAATTACCGTAATTTTTCGGACTATAAGCCGCAGAAGCTAAATTGCATGATTTGTACATATACAAGCCGTACTGGACTATTAGCCGCAGGTTTTTTATGTTTAATCTCCGTCTTTCTCGCTGTATTTCTGTCTCGTACCACTCGTGGTAGAAGTCTGCTTCCGGAGGACGTCCGCAGTCCCGCGCGTGCGTGGCTAGCAAATGTGACGTCAACATGGTGGATTGTAAAATCCATAGATTTAGGTATTACCCTAGCGGCCATTAGCTGTAAAAGTACATAGATAAGCCGCATTGTTATATAAGCCGCAAGGTCAAAGAATGGGGGAAAAGTCGCGGCTTATAGTCCGAAAATGACGGTAGATCTATCAGTACAGGACAGGCTGTTAGATCCACTTCCCCTAGTTTATCAGCACCATAAAACAGGCTCATAAAGTTGCGCTTGGGTGGTGATGGAGGAGGAAGATGTGGAGAGCTCCATAGAAAGTACCACAGAGGAACAGTTCTGCATTCTGAGGACCCTGAATGTCTCTGATGATGATGGAAGAACCATTGTCATTCTCCCATCTTTATGTTTTCTTCTGCAGGAGAACCTCTTCTTTGTGATGGAGTATCTAAACGGAGGAGATCTGATGTTCCACATCCAGAACTGCCACAAGTTCGACCTGAATAGAGCTACGTATGTATCAGACACACGTCCGCTAGTCCAGATCCGGGAGAAGGGTTCTCCTCCTTCTGGGTCAGAGATGTTCAAGATCATTAGACCAACAGAACCTGAGGAAACGCTAAAACTTTTCATTTATCAAGTAAAACTGAGGACATTTCTGGTTTGTTTAGATCAGAAACCTGATTACTGCCTGACATGTAGAACCGGCCTGACAGCAGCAGGCCAGAAGACGTCAATCACTGACATTTTAACTCACTTTAGTTTATTTCTATAGTGCCGATTCACATCATATCATCTCACGTTATTTTTCCAGCCACAATTCAACCAGATCATCCAGTCAGATTAGTTCAACATTTTTATCTAAGAAAAACAAGTGGATTGCATCGACTCGTTGACTCTTCAGCAATCCCTCACATCAAGCATGTATGCTGGGAGGGAACATTATGCTCCACCTGAAGAGATCTAAAGCCACTGATACAACCCGACCAATATGGGACTTTGAAGGCGGATACCGATAGAGATAATCGAGGCTTTAAAAAACCTGATATCTGATATATTGGCCGATATCTGATAGAGATTAATCAGAATATCAAAAAAAAATTAATAAATGAATATGGACATACACTATAATCCCACTCAAATTCTCTTAAAGGAATAGTACACCCAAAACATGATTAGCCTTCATTTTCTACTCACCCCCATGATGAACAACACTCTGGAGTCCTTTTTTGATATCTCAAATGCATCTGGAGATCTGGGAGGCTTCTTGCTGTCTGCTGACATTCAAATAATGGAGGTCTATGGTGCCCAAGACAGAAAGGTCCATAAAAGTCCACAAAAAACGTGTCAATATTCCTCCATACTGCTCGTCCAATGTATTCCAAGTGTCCTGAGTGGGTAGCATCCAGAATTTACTCGAAACGAAGTCATTTAGAATGTTTTTAGAGCATAAACAGTAGTGTATAGGATTTCCTGAAAGCGCGTTCACGAGTCTACGGAAACCGCGGCAGACCAAACCAGATGAAAGTGCGCATTCAGCTCAGCAAAGAACTCATGGTCTTCCTCAACACTGAAGTCCTCAGACATTTTTCTTTCGTTGTTTCTTTCTTTGCACAGGTAAACAGCACATTTCTTCTTCTACGCTTGCATTATTGGCAGAGCAGATGCTGAATGCGCACTTTCATCTGGTTTGGTCTGCCGGCTTCCGTAGCGTCGTGAACGCGCATGTGCGCGCTTTCAGGAAATCCTATACACTACTGTTTATGCTCTAAAAACATTCTAAATGACTTCGTTTCGAGTAAATTCTGGATGCTACCCACTCAGGACACTTGGAATACATTGGACGAGCAGTATGGAGGAATATTGACACGATTTTTGTGGACTTTTATGGACCTTTCTGCCTCGGGCGCCATAGACCTCCATTATTTGAATGTCAGCAGACAGCAAGAAGCCTCCCAGATCTCCAGATGCATTTGAGATATCAAAGAAGTACTCCAGAGTGTTGTTCAGCATGGGGGTGAGTAGAAAATGAAGGCTAATCATGTTTTGGGTGTACTATTCCTTTAACCAAAAATAGGGTTCAAGACCAAAAAAAATAGAACTATAGAATTGAAATAGGCAACTTTAATCTGAGCAGCATCAACATAAGACTATGAATAAAATTCTGTGGTTGTGATTTAGATATTGCCTCATATGTGGTAGTTTTTTCTCCGCGCTGGTGCTGTAACCCCAACTAACTACTGATGCTCCATCCTTTGTGGCTTGACACCTGACCGTTCCTGCAGTTTCATAATTAGATTTCACCTCTAAAGAGCATTTAAAGATTAAAACAAGTGGCTGCATTCAGCTTAAAGTGATAACAGCCTGTCTAATGGGAGTCTGTTATCACTTTAACAGCCTTTCATATCTTTTATATTAAGACTCATTTACAAAAACATCTCAGAAACAGTGGTGGCTGGTGGAGTTTTCTCCAGGGGGGGCTATGAATTCAAAATAGACTTATACCCGTCAAACTAGGGATGCACGATATTGGGATTTTGGCCGATATCCAATATTTTAAAACTCATGTAGCCGATAACCGATATCGATACCGATGTTAAAGCTGGACAAAAATAAGTAGTCATTGAAAATAGCAGTTTTGTTATCCATTTCTGACACTTTGAAAAATAATATACTCAAATATATTTTCATATGCTGATATCAAATTGATTTTTAAAAACGCGGTATCGATCTATTTTACTTTCAAAATCTCGTGAAATTTCATCGTTCTGTTACAAACTCTCGTGATATTTTGCAAATTCTTGTGAGATTTTGTTTGTAAAATAGATCGATACCGCGTCAATATATCAACATATAAAAATATGGCTAAATTCCGTGAATTTTCGGGGGATTTCGTAGCATAACGATGACATATAGCAATATTTCATTAGTAAAAGAGATTGATATGGTGTTTTTAAATGGCAATATATCAGCATATGAAGATATTGGGATATTTTATTGTATCAATATTTTTTCCCTCATCTTTAAAAAATTTTTTAAGTCTGTAAAAAATAAGTTTTTGAGGAAGAAGAAGAAGTAGTATTTATTTTTTTTTTTAGACTTGAGAAACTCAGAAGCTGATCAAATATCGGGTTAAATATCGGTGGGGTGGCCGATGTCCGATATTCAGTTTTAAGGCCGATACCGATAGGGGGCCGATGATATCGTGCATCCCTAAATCAAACATATACTAAGTTATCAAACAAGTATATTTTAATTAATGCCAATAACAAAAAACAACATTATAAAAACACTATATAAACAAAACAATTTCATGAACAGGTTTACCTTATGTACATAAGTGTCCTTCTGAGGCTTTGTGAAAGCAAAGCTGTTTTGCAAAAAATAATGTACCAGTTTAATAATGGAGAAGTCAGTCATTAAAGCTGATTAATAAAGGTATATATAGTAAGCTTTAATATATAAAAACTATTTATTTTCTGAGAATTAGTTTATTTAACAGCAACTACGCAAATTAACAAACACCTAGAAAAAGTACACTATATTATATTTTTTTTCCATTGTTAAATGAGGAAGTTATGTCCCCTAAAAAGGCAGTTGCACCTCGGGGCTTCCCCACCGGTTCTTTTCCTGGGAGCAAGTTATTTAATACTCTTAACTCAAACTGGGTAAAACCATATAAAAAGGACTGTAAAACACGAGTAAAAAAGTAACAGAGTTTATTTCAGATCAGGTCGTTACAGGACAGAGAAATTGCTTGGAGCTAGCACAGCTGTGGGCTCAAAAAATCACATCTGCGAGCGTCCGGCAAAGATTGAGCCCAGAACAAGGTCATCTTCTCCTTCTTATACCTTATGTGTCTATGTGTTTCATCAGGTGGATGCTTTGCTGTCCGTATCAGAAACTGACACGCCACCCATGCCCTGACCTGTATGCATCTTGCCTCTATGCCCAAGATTACAGATAGCTCTCCTCTATCAGTCTGTCTCCAAGATGTGCCCATATTCTGTGTATTTTTAAAGACACGAAGGCTGTCCTGATTAGATGGCCTCCGTACACACAGTGACATCCACCATGTGAAGGAAGGCCTTCCGCTCTGTCTATCTGGCTAACAAAGTAGCAATGCACATGATTTATAAAAGAATAAACCTAACACCCTGTAAATCCCAGATTGTTTATTTTTTCTTCGCCTTTCCTAAAAAATGCGAAGAATCAGTCCTACCTGTCTTTATCCCCGTTTCAAAAAGGAGGCAGGGAAAGCCTGAAAGAACCCAGACTTAAAGAGGATAAAGACGCTTTGACCTTCAACAGGCTGAAGTTAGTTTGGGTCAGTATTTCTCCACGGTATCAGAACCACCAGCTACCGGGTTCAGTAACTGGCGGTTTAGGGATTCGTCACCAGAACCTGCGTCTCTCCTCAGCTTCACTAATATTATTTTGATGATCAGGAACTTTTAGACAATATGATTAATCAGGCGTGAATACGTTCTGAGCAGGAGGTGGATTTAATGCAAGCTTCTCTGTGTCGTACAGGTTCTATGCAGCCGAGATCGTCTGTGGCCTCCAGTTCCTTCACTCCAAGGGAATCATCTACAGGTAGGTGATCTGGGAGCTTTAGGAGACCAACTGGTAGGAACGGCGCCCTGACGGCTTGCTCTGCTCCTCTGCAGAGACCTGAAGCTGGACAACGTGCTGCTGGACTCGGACGGCCACATAAAGATAGCAGACTTTGGGATGTGCAAGGAGAACATGCAGGAGGAATCCCGCACCTCCACGTTCTGCGGAACCCCGGACTACATCGCTCCTGAGGTGACCAAACATGCTGAGATCTTCTGTAGTCTTCAGGTTGAAATGGTTTGTTGATGATTATCTCCGGCGCAACAGATCCTGCTGGGTCAGAAGTACAACAGCTCCGTGGACTGGTGGTCCTTTGGGGTTCTGCTCTACGAGATGCTGATCGGTCAGTCTCCATTCCACGGCCGCGATGAAGAGGAGCTGTTCCAGTCCATCCGGACCGACACTCCCTACTACCCCAACTGGCTCACCAAAGAGGCCAGAGACATGCTAGTCCAGGTGGGCCTCCATCCTGAGATACTCTAATCTGCTTCACAACCAGAAATTGGAAGCGTCTCGTCTCTGGATCTTTGGTTCTGATGGGGAAAAGCAGCAGTCTTCAACTGTGTTTGATCCAGATTAAATTCAGAGTTTCTGATGTTCTGCTGGCAGAACCTCTTGTTATCATACTTTTAATATTTAAATATTAATTACTATGGTATGGGGGGGCAAATATCTTATTAAATCAAATAATATTTATATATATATTGTCATATATTGTTTATGAACACACGCCCTACTAGTTGTGTGTTAGAACAATAGATGAAAGAGTGATTCGAGCTCTAATCATGGTCAAACAGTTATTTCTGCACATACATGGAATAAATTCACCACAACTTCTGTTCAAATAATGAGTTTATTGACAAAGATCTTTCAGCTCCAAGTCAAACATATTTCAGTAAAAAAAAAAACTTCACTGAAAGCTAGTGAAACTCAAATAAACTAACTACTATGTACAAAGAGTAAGGGGGACATTGTTGAAAACCATATAACAGTTTAAGATGGATTTTATATTTGAAAACCAAAGTTTATCTGGAAGAATTTAGGATGTGATCAAATTAGGTTTTCATTAATTTAGAGTGATTGGAATGTTTTCAAACCATTTCACAATGGTGAATAAAAAATTATTTGCCAAATAATGTTTAATTAAATGATTTGCTTAATCAGGAACCAATAACCGTTAGTTAAATGATTCTTTACCCTCTTTGAATTAGCTAGCAGCGAATAGACATCAGGATTCCTCTAAATGACTCTTAGTCAGACTTGGTAATGGAAATGTAACGAGCATCTGAGGAACACATGAACACTAATGTTACATCAGTGTTTAAACCTATAGTGAATAAAGCTTGTACTAGCTTCAGCAACAGCCCAACACATATCAACGTAGCATAGCATGCTATCTATCC